AGTGTGTGTGTGTGTGTCCTGTGACGGACTGGCCCTGGTGTGAGTGTGTGTGTCCTGTGATGGACTGGCCCTGGTGTGTGTGTGTGTGTGTGTGTGAGTGTGTGTGTCCTGTGATGGACTGGCCCTGGTGTGTGTGTGTGTGACTGGTGTCCTGTCCAGGGTGTACCCTGCCTTGCGCCCATTGAAACTGAAGAAGCAGATAAACGATGGATGAATCGATACAAAGATAGGCAACCTGTAGGCACAGACACCCCGAACAGCGCGCCGACCAGACCCGAAAGCACCACGACTTCGCGCCGGCAGGTCCGATGCCTCTCGGAAACGCAGTGTTTCTTGAGCTCCATCAAGAACCTGAACAACAACAAAGCAAAACACACAATCGGTGCATGAGAAAAATCAGCTTCCTGTGCTCAGATCTGTAGTCAGCCCTGGTGACGGACAGTTCAGTGTTTCGTTTTTGGCGTCTGTGTTTCGGGTTCCTTCTGTCCTCTGTTTTTTTTTTTAAATTTCTATTCAATGTGTACGGAATTTACAAATCCAAATACAACTAGAGGAGGAGGAACCAGTACAAGAGAAAATAAGACACAATCGGGGGAAAAAAAACAATTAACTGCCAGAGATAATGAAGTAAATTAGATCACCACATTATTTTTTTTACGTATATCAAAGGTTAACTCGCTTTGGCACTTTTCGGATTTTTATAGAATTAAAATAAATGTTTCCAGTCCATTTTAAAGATTCTCTCCTCTGTTTGTGTCGTCGGATGTCAAGTAAAGGTTTTTTTTTTAATTAAACATATAAAGAATCTACAAATACGACTGCAACCAGAGGATCAAAAACAGGTACAAGAGAAAAAAATACAAACAGAAAAAAAACATTTAGCCGCCAGAGGTCATGAAGTAAATTATGTGATCAAATTGTATTTTTACACATATCATATGTTTTCCGTGCTTTATTATTTCTCAAAAAAATTGTTTAGAATTGAAATAGTGTTTCAGCTCCACCTCAAAATAACTAAAAAGGGGAGGATTATTAGACCATCTTGATTTATGGATGTGAAATTGACCAAGAATTACTAATAAATTGACTGTAAAGTAAAGGTTTGATAAGGGCAATGCGCCTCCGAGTGACCTGCTGTGTTTCAAGCCCTCTACCGGTGAATCTAACCGAGAGCCAAACTTTTCACTTATTGTAGCAACAAGAATACACACATCCTCGGGGTACATAATGCAGAAGTATCTGACAGAAAAAAAAGATTAAATGACTCTAATGAAAATAAGGCTTTCGTGTTTTTATCTACGGCCTTACGTTTATCTTAAACTTTTCAAATGCGAGTCTCTTCCCAGACAATTCCGTGTTATATCTAAATATTAACGAGAACGTATAATGATTACATCAATGACAAATTATATATATTTTTTCCAATGGGATTAAAAATTAACATAATACAGTATCTATTTCTGCGAAGCGGGAAAAGTACTGCCCGTGGCGCTGTTTCGTTTCGGCAGACTGCGCAGGGCTCTTTTGAAAACAGCAGAAATGAAAGATAACTCTGAAACGAAATGAAAAGAATAACGGTTTTCCTCAGTAATTCAGTGGCAATTCAGAGGTGAAGCTGCCCAGGACGCCGCCATGCTTTAGTTCTCCCCCCCCCCGTCACATGATGAGGGGCGGAAGTGCGGAGCCCCATTCAGCACAAAGATGGCGGCGCCGTCAGGCGGAGGCGACCCGGGTGAGTTTGGTGTACCCGATCAGCTGTACGAGCCGAGCCGAGACAGACCCGGCACTCGGAATCCGGAAGGGCCGTGTTTTAGAGCCAGGAGGGGGAGCGGGTACTGCGCGTTTGAGCCCCGAGCCCGGGGGCGTGTGTGCTGGCTGTGTCTGCGCCCAGAGGGGCATGTCTGAACGCGTAACCGGCCGCTCCGGAGCAGAGCCACCCGCGCGGCGTGCTCTCCCTGCCCCGCTCACGGGCTTTCTGCTTCGTCACCGTGTTCCGTGGTCAGGTTTCGCTTTGACGTTCCTCGCTGTGCCTTTCTACGTTACAGTGTTTTGCTGTGATCGCACTCTGATCACTTACCCTTCACTGTACTTTTACTCTGAACTCCGAACTGTATGCGACACTTCATTCTGCTTTTACCCTGGTCTCACTGGGCTTTACTGCTCTGTACTGTGTTTTTACCCTGATCTCACCTGGCTTTACTGCACTGTACTGTGCTTTCACTCTGATCTCACTGGGCTTTACTATACTGTA